GCATATATATTGAATATATTTAAATAAATCTCTTTTGATTATGGAAAATATTCGCATGTATATGAAGCTGATTGTAAAAATATTCAGTGATAATAAACAAAAATTTGATATTTTTGCCGTGTTGCATATATGTGATATCTGGGAAAATTTAATAAATTAAAAAAGATAATTAATGAATTGCTATACATTTCACTCGCTTAAACTCGAGAATGGCTTGACCGATTTGGCTTATTTTGATCATGAAATATTTATGGAAGTTCAGGGAAGGTTTAAAGAGTGAGAACTATGTATAAAAAAAATTAAAAAAAAAACGTAATTTTCCAATACAATTCGTTGCTTCAAACATCTGATGCTTTTACTCAGATACATATATAAATTTTCTGTGCTTGGAATAAAACCTCCTAAAGGGCTGGACTGATTTTGAAGAGTGATCAGGTGGATTCGAGAATGGTTATAACAATTTGATATTTTTTGTTTGTTTTTTAAGTTTGATTTTTTTGTAATTGTGTGTCAGGTATTAATAAATTATTAGTTAGTAGTTATTAATAAATTTGAGCTTAGTTACAAAATTATTTTAAGCAGACATTCGTAGAATTATTTGCGGTTTAGAAGGTGCCCAACCTAAACCGCAAATAAGGTATAAGGTATACTTTGATATATACCAGAGGGTATACTTTCTATTATATTTTTATTTTTAGTAATTAACGTGGTTAAAGCTAAGATATAATTTAATATATCTAAGAATGTTTCCATGAACTGTTTTTCAATTTTTAACTTTTTTCAAGAAAGCAAAACGATTTATATTATGTATGACGGCAAAGATCCTGGTTTTGATTATCGGATATATAAGAATGTACAAAATATCACAAGAAACCTTTAAACCTTTAAAAAAGATACAAGTTACGTTAAACATAACACGCTACGGTCACTTGTTTTTAAATCCATGTAAAAACAAATTACTCGGAGATGCAAGATTTAAATTCAAATCAAATTGTACATTTTCTGCTGAGCCAATAATTACTTTCCGAACCGGTTAAAAATAATTAACAAATCAATAAGACATGTTTTCAATCTCATATTTTTTCCTTGGCTCCGTACCAAGGGATTTTTCTATGCTCAATAAATGCTTTTCAGGTTAGGACAGGCAAACATCGCGACGTGTTTTAGACACAAAAGGCTGTTGAATCTTTGTTTATTAAAAACAATCATCTATCACACAACAAAGTCAAATAATAATAGTTAATTATTTATTTATTTAATCAGACAATCATTATTGCTCGAACAGTGAAGGAAAACATTGTGAGGAAACCGGCATGCTTAAACCCAAAAAGTCGACGTACTGTGTCAGATACAAGAAGGCTGATCACCTACTTGCCTTTTAGAAAAAACAAATGATCACGGAACAGACCTCAAAGGCTATTGGTTTTTTTCCTTCACACATTCAATAATCTAAGAAAAAAACAATCATTAATTTTTATTACAACATAATTTAATATAGACATTCGCCGAATCATTAGAATTTCATTGTTATACGTTGATAATTATTAAATAAAGATCTTATATAGCACCTTAATATAATTATGTAATTAACATACTCACATAATTATGACTGGGTACATTACGTGGTCGGTATAATTGTCGAAAAGTCCTTCATAATACAAAAAGTATGAAAACAAATTTTAAAGTTTATTATAAATCTAGAAATAATTAATTAGCGGATCCACGTAATCAAGTAGAAAAAAAGGTTTTTCGTGAATGTGTGGCTAAACATTTAAGTATAAAAAGGCTGAATAGCGCTAACGTCAGATAGATGCAAAGAATCTTTGCTTATAGTAACATCAGTGCAGTGTGTGCTATTATAACAAGTAGGTATTTGAATTTATTCTAATACAATCTAATCTCTTGATATATTTCAATAAAGTTTTTATGTACCCTTTTGAGCAATATATTTTGTTTTGCGTATACGAAAAAGGTTCTATTGTGCTTTTATCACTACTTTTGGGTAACGGTTTGCTACCCTTGACTAAATAAGACCCAATAGGTAAAAAAAATAAGTTCTCAAGTTTTAATGTTTGCGGGAAGGCCTGTTTTTTGTGAAAGACAAAACAAGCAAGACTGATAAATGGGAGTAATTTTAACAATCAATATGATTTGTGAGTTTTTTATTACTAACTAATTTCCTTCAAGTAAATTTATTTCCCTGGAATAACATTTTAATAATTCCAATCATCATATTTCTCTGAATGACGCCTTCATGAAATTACTATAATTATATAATTTATATAAATGACTCACGAAATATATTTTTATATAATTTAATCATTTGCTTCGAGTTAATTCGTGCTTCCCTATTTTAGTCATTTCCTTAGGATAACATTTTAATAATATCAATTAACATATTCATCTCGATAGTGTATACTATATTATTAAGATATAATTGATTTTAATATTTATAGAATCAGTTTCACATTCTCAAAAGGGAAAATATTATTATAACAATTGTAATGATCTATATACAATAACGGAACCTGTAAAGTGGCAAACGCATTACCATTTGAGCCAATAGGGCTAAAACTGTTTAATTATTTTCAAATTATTATGTTAAATAGGTGACTTTGTAAATAATAAAGTCGTCCATTATTACTATAAGTCAGAGTCAATAGGGGTTCAGATTTACATATCTATTAAACCTAAATCAACAGAAACGTTCTAATTCATAATTCATCGATCAAGTTCCTATGCAAATAATACGAGTACATAGCCAATTTGCAATTAGTACGAAACAAATTCAAATCCACTTCAAAATCTAAGTAATGTAAAACTGTCAACCGCCGTCACCACACTGATATTTTTTTGTGTTCATTCAATTAAAAAAAAACAAATTATAATACGAGCCTCACTTCACTATAATGACAAAATAGTGATATAATTCATTGAGAAAGGCTGTATAATGCACAAGCGAATTAACGCTATTGAAAGGCATGTATAGAACATACATGCCTTTGTTCGAACATACGAACATACATAGTTTTATAAAAGTTAATGTAATAAGCTTTAAAGGTATTTTTTATAAAAAACTTACTTTTAAATTGTTTTTAAAAGCTATCCTAATTCAGAGATATTTGTCTTTGTTATTTATTAGATAAAAGATATTTTGCTTTTAAATAATGAGAATACATAAAAGCTTCTAAAATGTTATAAGTGTTTTAATACAAATTGTCATAGTAAATTCACAATGGGGGGCCTCATAGCCTAGCGGTCTTATTAAGTGGCAGCTAGGTGAGGGGTACCGGGTTAGATTCCCGGTTCGAGGGCAAGTTTTAATTTAATTCAAATTTGTTCTCGGCCTTTGGGAGGGTTGTGCGGTACCGGGCGAGTGCTTAAACCGTACATAAAGGGCACTGTCGAATTTCTAAAAAAGACGAGCACGAATTATAAAAAGTCCTATACTTGACGCTGGCTAATGCACAAATCGTGCCAGAGCCATAAAAAAAAAAAAAAAATTCACAATGGCCGTTTGAGATGAAAAAATTGTATGTTCGGCAAAAAATAGTTTGTTCAGCATTTGTTTATGTTCCAGTATTGGCTGCAAATTTGGTATTTTTTATAAATAAAATGATTTATTTTATCATTTACGTCATACGTGGCATTCCGACATATATGCTGATAACAGACTGAAAACGAGATAAATAAATCGGTAAAAACGATAGAGTTACAATCCAAGAAATTACCTATTTTCCATTTCCAAAATTCCCCGGTTTCAAAATACCAATCGTAACAGTGACGGCCTTATTTATGATGGATAAATGATACAATAATAATTTGTAATTTCGTCGAGAATTCCCTTTAATTACGCAAAAACATATCAGTTGCTTCTAGTAATTTTAGTATAAAAATATTTTTTATAAACAGCTTAGAGAGATATTTGAAAAGGCACTTTTAATGACAATTTAATATGCTTTTTCAACAAGAGTTTTGCTTATTTAAAATTATCTTGAACCAATCAGATGACAATGACACAAAGCCAAATATGGCTGCTGGAGATTACCAATGCAGACTACCACAAAAATTCATCATTTGTAATACTCTTTTATAGTCTTATTTATTTTTCTTTGTACTGATTTATTATACGCAAACAAAAAGAAAAGCGCTGTTTAGCTTTAGAATGATCTACGACTAGTATTGATTACTGCAGTGCCAAAAACAAGTTCTGAGAATTATATTTCACAGACTACAACATAAATGTACTTTGGTGATCAAACGCAAACAGATTGGAAAATAGGTTTTGTTACAATTTAATTGCGTGAGTACTATTGCTTTACAGTCGCGACTTTGTGAAGCCGTCGAAGCGGTATCGTATTAAAATATCAAAAGGGAAAGCTTTATGATTTTAGGTATTAATAGTGAATACGATATTATGTATACATATGCAGGCGAAAACTTTGTACACCATTTTAATTAATTATTAATATTGAAATATTATGCAGTTAAAGCTTGTATGGAGAAGAAATGTATAAATACATATTTTATTTAAATGCATCAATTGGAATAATATACTTCTACTGGTTAACTGACACATTGATGACCATCTCGTTAACATTTCAATAGACTTTTATTTTAGAAGAACCAATGAATTGTGAATTAATTATCTCCCGGTGTATAATAGTAATTTCTCTAGTTTTTATATACACTATAAGGAATATTGATTACGCTTGATACAGATAACGCGAAATAATCAAGCTCATAGCGATCACGGTAGATAAAAAGCTCGGACTTTTTTCATTCATTAAAGACATATACATCGGATGCATATACAGCATTAATATTGTTAATTCGATAGATATCTTACCTGGATATGTGATTTATAATATTGACTGTTTTAGTCTTTGGGTATGTCTGTATTAGTGGTATCAAGTAATAACAAAATTGTCTTATTCTACATAGCTATTATGATACAGTACTTCCTTTTAGGTGGTTTTAAAGTTGTATTTTAGTTACAGATGAAGCTGTTAATTCTTTTGGTTGTGGTCGCGGTGGCGACAGCCCGTCCAGATGAGAAATACAGCAGCCGATATGACGACTTTGACGTAGACCAGCTGAAGGAAAACCCCAGACTAATGAATGCTTATATACTGTGTTTCCTTGGAGAGGGAAAGTGCACACCAGAAGGAAATGAAATTAACAGTATGTGTCTCTTTTTTCTTAACCTGATGTTACCATATAAAAAATACAACCTTTTTAGGTCACATTTCTGTATCTGTTTCATGATCATTTGGTAATCTAATAGGCAAGTAGGTGATCAGCCTTCTGTGCCTGACGCACGCCGTTGACTTTTTGGGCTAAGTCAAGCCGGTTTCCTCACGATGTTTTTCTTCACCGTTCGAGCGAATGTTAAATGCGCACATAGAAAATCAGTCCATTGGTGCGCGGGATCGAACCTGCGACTTCAGGGATGAGAGTCGCACGCTGGAGCCACTAGGCCAATACTGCTCATGTTACTATATATTCTTCTATAAATGGACTATCCAACATAAAAAGAAATCCTTAATTCTAAACTAGCGGTATGTGGTATACGTTAGATCTATTCTTTATAGTATAACGAGTTGGGGCCCGCGACTTCGTCTGCGCAGGATTAAAATAATATTTGTCCAAATGATGTAGCGTGAAAGAAATATTTTAACTACTTTAAATACCAGGAGCGATAAAAGTATCTATTTTCATTTAGGAATCAATTTATTACTACCGAATGTGCATTTGAAATAAATTATCACTATTTTTGCTATAATGGCTTACACATAAGACATAGATATATACCTTTACAGGCCTTTTTTGTAGGATTATTTAAGATAAACAATTCCATCATACATTACATATGTGAAACTGTAGCGGTTTTGGCAGCGCACGCCAGAATAGCTCGCAGATGGTTGATTTTTTTATACTTACTTGATAGTTTAGACAAGTCACACAATATCTTTATAAATTGTAGCCTGTGTGTTATTCTGATGTATAAGGTATATTATTGTGAAGTTTTATTGAAATCCATTCAGTTGTTTTTACGTGAAAGAGTAACAAACATCCATCCACAACAAACTTTCGCGTTTATGATATTAGTAGGATATACAGAAAAAAATTGATAAAGCCATTTTCGAGGAATGCGACCCCAAACACTGTGTAATGTGTTACGATATTTTTAAAGTAATAGAACCTTGGTAAATTATTCAAATATATAAAAAAATAATCTAATTGCCCTCTTTTAATTAAAGTACATTCTCTCTTTCTGACAAATTGTATTTTCGCAATGAAAAGAGACAGATGTGTAATTTACTAGAAACGGTGTAATAAGACTGATGAACTTATTTCAAATAAGTAAGATAAGTCTATACGTGACCACTAATGTAATATAATTATTACTTTAAATACAGTAAATTGTAATTATGTCCTTAACATACGGTGTACGGAAAATTACCTTCCATTAACTTTTCCAACCCAGTTATTTCCTAATTATTTCCAACCTAGCCGATTTGAACCAAGTATCTCCAGCCACTATATCTTTATAACTTCACTACTCAAGATAATTGTTATAAGGCAACGTTAATAATATTATATGTGTTTTTTTGCAGCATGGATTCCAGAAGCAGTCAACAATACTTGTAAAAACTGTTCGGACAAGCAAAAAGTTCTCGTTGCCAAAATGATCAAGACCATGATGGACGACCATGCTGAGGGCTGGGAGAAGCTTAAGAACAAATATGACCCAGAGAATGTCCACGAAGACGAACTGAAACAGTTCATTGGAGAACACCTCCCATAAACCATGTTTGAACCTTGAGTTGCTTCATAGTTTTTGGTAAAATAAATATAGATTTCTAAAAAGATTATGTTGTTGTATTACTAAGGCAAAAAGCGAAGAAAGTGGGTAGGGACTACTGCAAAACGCTGACCCGACCTATACTAATTTGATACCTATAATAATTTGACAGAGAAAACGCATGGATTTTTTCAAATTCCAAAGAAATTTGTCATAGAACAACACATCCGTGCAAAAATACGGAATTTGTTACGTCTTATCGTATTCAGAAACCATATACCATCTTACCTTTTTGGTATTTAGAAACCAAACTTTTTTTTTAACAAGATGCCTTTGAAAGTAGTGTTTACAGTAGTAGTAGTTACAAAGATAAAATATTTTGACAGTAATTATGAACAGTAAATCCATGTTTCAATTCTTAGTTATACACAGTTTCATGTTTTGTATGTATTTTAAAAACTAAATCCCATACATTGAGATTTAAACCAATAAAGGTAAATATGCCAGCCAAATGATCGATACCAGAACTTTAAGGAAGGCGAGGATAATGATATAATAAAATTGGAAAATGCTCAATGAACCATAAATGTATAACTGTATCAAAAATGCAACCAAAATGCATTTTAATTGTCTTGCAACTGGGTTAAGTACAACCAAGAGCATTGTTCGCTATAACAAATTGTTTTAAAGAAAAAACATATCTCGTGGAAATGAATTATTCAATGCTTTCCCTACTGAAATAAAACATAAATTACAAACTCTTATGAAAGTTATATACAGCTACTTCCCTTACGTTTAATAGACTACAAGCCCATGGAATAAAAATACCTGTGAAATGAACCAACGTGAATAACGCTTAGAAGGCTGTTACTATATCTGAAAATAACTCTGAGCACTATGCCGTCTTTTCTGAGCGGTACAGGTGAGTACGTGAGTGAATGGAAGTTCTCAGGTACAAATGACGAATTTCGACTAATTATTAATGTATGTATGTATTATGTTTTATAAGTGTAAAGGTGGGAACTGACCAAAGTTACGAGGTGTAATGTATCATTCGCATCGAGCCTGTTACGCATCGAGCATGTTACGCTGTGTTCTAAAATCGGCGTAACATACTCGTCAAAACTCTGTGCTCCGCTTTCGCCACCAGTGTTCGCGAGATGGCCGACAGCGAGGACGTGTTGATATCTTTCATTCTATTTCATTATTGTTTCATCCAAATTAAGAAGAAGAAGAAGAAAAAATGTTACTGGACATCAAACTTATTTAAAAATACAGGCTTATGAGGTGGTTTGTTATTGATTGCAATATTAAAAAACCAAAAGATTACTGGACAGTATAAAAACTTTGTACGCATGTCTCGATTTTGATGAACTGTTGAATTTAATTGGACCAAAAGTACTTAAAAAGAACATAACTTATAGAAAATCATAATCATGATCACTCGCGACGTACGACGCGTACTGACTGAACCGCGTAACAGTCAAAGGATTCGCCAAAAAACCGACAGCCGGGTGGAGCACTCAAAGCGAGCAACGAGCGGCTCGTTGCTCGCTGATTTCCCCATAACATGACGTACTGACTGCTCGAATGCTCGCTGTGTAACGTGTTACATTACACCTCGTAACTTTGGTCAGTTCCCACCTTAATAACAACCCCACTCTACTCCATTTCGAAGGTAAAAACACACTTTGATATCATAAATATTAAGGATTTAATTGTACCACTGGCCCCACCTCCAAAATGTTCATTTCACAACCATCTCAATACTAAAAAGTTAGCATCATCTGAGTCTAACTCATTCATAAGTTAAATTGTTTTATAAAAAATATAAAATAAATCAGTGGCGCTACAACCTCTTTAGGTCTTGGCCTCAGATTTCTGAATCTGTTTCATGATCATTTTTAAATCTAATAGGCAAGTAGGTGATCAGCCTCCAGTGCCTGACACATGCCGACGACTTTTTGGGTCTAAGACATGTCGGTTTCCTCACGATGTTTTCCTTCAGCGTTCGATCAAATGTTAAATGCGCACATAGAAAGAAAGTCCATTGGTGCACAGCCGGGGATCGAACCTACGACCTCTGGTATGAGAGTCGCACGCTGAAGCCACTAGGCCAGCACGGCTCTAAATTGTTTTATAGTCACAGTAAAGGTTACAATTAATTTTATACAATAATGCTACAGCCAACTTAATTTTAATTCATAACACCGTTGAATAACGTCATTATAAGAATAACTTATCAAGTGCCTTTTCATAGCGCAACGGCGGTAGAATTAATTATACTTGGGCGTGATCAAAAAATAATTCTGAGCTTACTTTTGAACATAGCCTGATACTGAATGGCGTCTTGGAAACGAACCGAGGTACTTGTCAAACTTGATGACGTCGCACTTAACTCTCGGTCGAGCCTCTTGAGGCACGGCTTGTAATCAGATAATTTCAATTTTTCTTTTACGTTTCCGTAAACGCTAGAAGAACAAAGTGTTCGGCTGTAAGGACTATTTGTTTCTGTCTTAGAAGTAGTATAATGGAATTGTTGTCTATTCCCAGATTACTAACCTAACGTGTGATTTAATCATAACCCAGAGTTTTATTTATTAGTTAATTAAAACTAAATTAGTAGTGGATACTATCTACATTATTTATAAAACAATTGTCTTTAGAGAGAGACTAAAAACGGTGCAACTCTCTCTCTTTTAATCATTGAGAAAACACAAATTAAAAAAAAAGGAAAAGGAGAAACACTAGATATTTTTAACACTAGGTGTAGTATGCTACTTATTTTAGACTATAAAATAATATTAAAATAAAGCTTGGAAAGGTTGTACATTAATAAATCAAATTCGTGTTGACTTTTGCATCTATAATACAACCCCAAATACCCCATCCTCTAATGCAATCATATACATACTATACAATTAATCATATAAGAGTATAAATCCGTCGTTTAATATCTGCAAAGCAGTTATTAAGAGATAAATGACTTTCTAAAAATAAACAAATTATAACAAGAACTCAGTTATTACTTGTATTAATATGAGGTTTGAAAACACCACTCACGAGACCGTAATCTTTCATCTCCAGCATTAAATAGAAGGCACACGAGCGTACAAATTAGAGCAAATGAACATAGCTTATTAATTTATCAAGTAATGGGTTAAATATATGATATTTTTATTCGAGATACCTAGTTTATGAATGGATATTACGGCCACAAAATAAAATCATATACATAAAGAATGGGTCTATTGAAAATCGTAGACAATCAAGTTAGGATTGTGATTTCCATGAAAAATGTCTCAGCATGTTTAAAGTAATTCATGTTTATTTGCTTGTAGTAGAAAACCTATGCATGGACTATTAAAGACATGTGATGTTCCCGTCGCATGCTTCGCATCAGCTGGATCCAAAGAGTGACGCTTGAAAGATCCCTTGAACAAATCGGGACGATAAGAAAGTTTATGCAGACTGTTAAAATGCGGAACGTCGCTTATTACGGCCATCATCGATACGACTTGTGGCAGCTTAATAATGATGGGTACAGTTCATGGCAACTGGTAAAAGGAATAAGTCGTGGTTGCGGAACGTTCGGGAGAGGATCCGCATCACATCCGTCGAGGAACTGTTTAGACTAACGCCAAATACCCGGTAATTCAAGGCGTTAACAGCCAACATTTAGAAATAAAGTGGCACCTGAAGTAGAGATGAGAGAACCTATATCGACTGAAATCTAACGCACATTCCGGGTATTTCGCCACGGCAATTGTCTTACGACTTTGAATTTCGTATGTGCACACTACGAAGCTCATATAAACATCAAACCAAAAAAAAGTACACTTTCTTAAAGTAATAATAATAATCTTTATTTATTTTTCTCACAATAAACATAAACAAGTTACAGTTATTTATTATTATAAATGATTAAGTGTCTATCTTCTATTGAGGGAAATGCTTGATTGTGAGAGACTGATGCATGCTAAAGGTAAGAGTACCTGTGTTACAGGTCATCAGGCCTTCACCACTTCGGATCGACAGAAGGTCATAAAAAGTAGAGAAAATGTATGCTAAGTAAACAGATATTATTATAATAGGTTGCTCATTAAATAATAATATAAAGGGATATATATATATATAAGGAAACCACATTGGGTATGTGTAAGTAATTGTAATATTATGAACGTACTAATTTCAAATACAAACAGAGCATCCATAGACAAATAAAAGATTCATTGAAAGCTACCAGCTAATCCTAAATCGCAAAATAAAATCACGAGTTTCAATTAGTCTATATGTTACTGTAAAAGCTCGAACTACGGTTAATCTTAAGATTTAAGTGTAAGTCTTAGGATTTACCGACATGAGTTGGTAAATGTAAGTATTTTTGAAAATACGACGATTTTTTCGAGCTTTTACCATTCGAATTCAGTATATGCTAGGTTTTACCAATGTCAGCTGGTTGATGTTGGTTTTAGGAATAAAACAATGAGTAATTCTTAATTATTTACTTTAATGTACTATGAGACAAAACAGGTACATATTATTATAAAGGTATCATATGATAGTAATAAGTACAAACTAATACCAACTTATTTAAATTATTTTGAAAAAAAACACATAACGTATATCTTTGAATATCTCAATCTCTGTCATATCTATCTAACTGAATCAGTAGTTCTCTATTTGGAATTTAACAACGAAATACAAACATAATGCTTACATAAGCTTATGACATGTTTTGTTTTTCAACATTTACCGTTCCATTAATGTAAATCCTAAGATTTACCAACGGAATGGTGGTAAGAGGTCGAATCGCAAACCTTTTGGGACATTTACCATTAGGAATTGGTAGATTTTAGGTTTTACTGGAATATCTAAGGATTTACTGCAGTTCGAGCTTTTACAGTAACATATATACTTAAGAATGTATGCGCTTTGGTAAAACATTGGTGCACGTGTTAATAAATTTACCTCAAACACGAGATGTACCATAAACATTAAAC